GGTCTAATGCTGAATGTGGATTGGTTCCAACCCTATGAAGGGACAATTCACAGCACCGGTGTGATATATGTCGCCATTTGCAACTTGCCTCGGGACATTCGATTTAAAAGAGAAAATTTATTAATTCTCGGAATATTACCAGGTCCTAACGAAGTGAGCCTACACCAAATCAATCACTATTTAGCACCAATTGTCAATGATTTAGAATTACTATGGAGTGGAATAACTCTAAATCGAATATTTGAGTGCCAAAACGGAAAAATATTCGTGTGGCTTTAGTACTATTTTCGTATAATGTTCCCACGGCAAGAAAGATATGCGGGTATATTTCAGCACTTGCATCATGTCACTAGTGCAAAAAACGAGCAAATTATGAGAATCGACAAAATAATTTCACTGGGATGGACAATATAGACGAATGGTTTGTTACTCGAGATTTGGCCGAGTTTCGTGAAAATGCACATGAATGGCGACGTTGTAGCTTTAATGCTTCACGAAAACATTTTACGAAAGATACTGGAATTAGATGGTCAGAATTATTGCGGTTGTCATACTTCGACCCTATAAGGTTCATTGTTGTCGATCCAATGCACTGCTTATTTCTAGGCATCGCAAGATGGATAGTGAAAAGAATTTGGGTTGATGAAGGAATTTTGAACCAACAATCGTTTATAAAAATTCAAAAAAAAATGGATGAGTTTCAGATTTTATCCGATTTGGGACGAATCCCTGGGAAAATCCATTGCGGAGAAGGATTTTCAAATTTTACAGCAGATCAATGGCAAATCTTTTTCACAATTTACGCTACGGTATCGCTATGGAGTCACCTTTCGGTACATGATCGGAAAATTCTCCATCATTTTGTGAGAGTTTGTACAGCTTTCGTAAGTCGAATTTTAGAACTTGATGCTGTGAGAGAATCGCATGAGAGATTGATTGAAATTGTGAAGTTGATTGAGAAACATTATGGACAAGATAAAATTACTCCTAATCTCCATCTTTCACTTCATTTGAGTGAATGTATGTATGATTTTGGACCTTTATACGCATTCTGGTGTTTCTTCTTTGAACGCATGAACGGTGTATTAAGTAAACTATAACTATTTATTTAGGTTTAATATTCTTATTCTTAATTTATGCATAATCGTAATTTTAAATTTTAGACGCCTTACCGAACAGCCATAGGAAAATAGAACCGGAAATTATGTGACGAATGATGGCTGATATCCACATTGATAGTATTATAAATTCTAGAGAAAATGTAAAGGGACTAGAACTTCTCAATAACCGAGCTTTTGTTGGATCCTTGGCAGAGGCTGATGAATTTTCAGCCGATGAAATGGAACGATTTTGGTTGAATTCGCAGAATATTCAACAATCAATAGTCACTGGAAGCGAGTCGTTTCCAGGTGAAATATTGGGTCCCGCCTCTGAAAATATAGTGATGTCAAATTCAATGCTTGATTTACTGGTCGAATACTATTTGACGACTTATGAAACACTTGAGTTTCGAAAGCCATTCGGAGAAAGCCACGAGAATTCAAGGATCATTTCCGTCAAAATGACATCGGAAAATTTTTTGGGGTGCAGATCTGCGGAGATCTGTAAAATTAGCAGATCTCCACTTTTTTTTTGTCATTTTTTGTGTATTTCTGCGAAGTTCTGTAAACTTTGCAACTTCGCAGATAATTGAATATTTTTATCTATAAAATCAGCAAAATTCTGCAATTTTGCAGAATTTCATTTAACAGAAATTTTAAAACATGCCAGTTTTGCGAAGTTCTGCGAAATAGCAGATCTTCACTTTTTGTCCTTTTTTTTTTGCGAAACTCTGCAAAATTCTTTAACTCAAAATTGCAGGTTTATAATTGCGTTTAATCTTTAAGTAACTAACTAATTAAACTTTTCGATTTCAATTAGTAATTAAGCTTAATTAAGCTTTTCGATCATTTCCGTTGACAATTTATTTTCGCTAAAGTTTTTTAATAGTTTTTTTTTAATACTTTCGTTAAAGTTTTTCAACAAATTTACAAATTTTATTTTTTAAACTTTCTGACTTTACTTTCGTTAAAGTTTTCCAGTAATTTTTAAAACATGTATTTATTTAACAAATAACGATTTACTTTGCCAAACCTTGGAACTATATGAACTTCTTGGTTAATTAAACCGATTGGTATTGTGTTGTATTCTTTGGTGTAATACAACTGCAGACACCCATACAGTTCAGGTTCCTCCGTAATAATATCAAACCAACGAACCAGAGCAAGTTCATATGGCTCTTTGAAAGAACCTCGGAAGAATTTAAATAATAACAATACCTTATAAAGAAAATTGATTAATGACATACAACACTTTATCAATCTTAATCATTTACTTACTTTTCCATACCAAGCTCCCTCATCCGAATTGTATTGCTCTTGATCTTCCGCAGGAGTTACCGCAATATTACCGAACTATTATTTACCTTGGAATTCTCCTGTCGTTCTTAAAATATGTCTATCTTCCAGGTGTACTGAATCATAAATTTTAATGTAAAATTATTCACTTTCGGACTCCTGCGAAGATGTGTCCAGAAAGGTATCTAAAGTTGAAATTAATTGCGATAACCCTTCAATGAAGTTTGAATGTGGTGGATTTTCAGATTTTTTCAACGATTTTATTTTTTGGTCGATATTATCTAATGTTAGTTCCCAAAGTACTTTTCCAAATCCTTTGGCTTTATGATGAATAACTTTTTTAGCAGAAGATGTCAATTCTTTGTGTTTTACCTATAAAAAATATTAGAATTTATAATTAAATGTATGAATATTTCAAAGAAATTGATTTCAGTCATGTTGAAT